CTAGAGCCCAGTCTGTCCAGTTTATTGATGAATGTTAAAAATGGCACACTGTAACGTTTCATTTGCCTGTTCACAGTTATTGTCTGGCACTGAACTCCTCCAACAGCACAGAGAACCAGAATAGCTCCATCAAGGACTCTTAAAGATCTCTCCACTTCAATTGTGAAGTCCACATGTCCTGAATAACACAAACCCCCTGTTATTCATAGAGGATAAAAGTTAAAGAGAAATTGTTTTCTCATACGTGCAGAAAAGAGCAACAGCCAACAGAATCAGTCTCCAGCTATACAGTCACATTAGCTCAACTTGAGTGACTAATGAACACAAAGATGGTACCGTGCTCTTCGTACACATGAAGGAACAGCAACCTTAACGTGTTCAGAACTGTCGTCACCTGGTGTGTCTATGATGTTGATGTTGGTGTCTTTCCACATGGTGTACGTTGCTGCAGACTGAATTGTGATTCCACGCTGTCGCTCTAGCTCCATTGAATCCATGACAGCTCCAACTCCATCCTTACCTTTCACCTTAGGAAAAAAGAAAAAAAAAAAAGAAGAAAAAGAAAAAATTTAGTCCAAGGGAGTTTACTAAGAATTTTGCATGTGCAGGAGTGATGCTTTATATACTGAGCATCATCTTTCATGCAGTGAAGAGAAGCAGATGTGGCACAATTGCTTGTAATTCTTGAACTGCAAACAAGTTTGATTTTTTTTGCAGCTTCATCTGCGACTTTAATGTATTTTTGCCTTCCTGATGATCATTCCTGAAAAAGGTTATCAGAAATCTGTGGGAAATTATGCTTCACTGTGAATTTAACAAGATAACATATCTGAAGCTACAAATAACATCCCTATGTTCTCCGTTTGTCCCAGTCATCTTTGACTACATCAAAAGAAACATGTATTTTCTACTGTATATTTACCACAGAGATGGTAAGGGAGAAGCAGCTTTTGAAATAAGATTTGAAATGTTCTGAAAGAGGGAGAAGGCTGCTGTAAAGGAGGGATTACTTTCTATCCCCTTGCCCTTCACTTATTTTTAAAGGGGTGTCAGAGAAACCAGGAGATTTTTTCGACTCCTTCTTCAGCCTGGCCTGAAGAGGTTCACTGGGCCCACCAGGCGTAGCTCCCTCACCCCACGCACTACACCACGCGGACGAACAAGTCTCAGCAATGTCGCAATGGCACCTAGCACGCTCAGCCCACGGAGAGCAGCTCTGCTCTGGAGTCCTCTGAAAACTGACCTCGTGCATTTGTGCTATCCTGCCTGTATAGAAGAGGATTCGCTCCGTTAATGTCGTCTTCCCCGAGTCGATGTGGGCCGAGATCCCAATGTTGCGGATCCTCTCATTGGGAAGGACTCCTGAAGAACAGTGCCTGCAGGAGTTCAGGAGAAACTGAAAGGCAAGAGAAGATCGCTGTTTTAGCTAGGAGCAGATCAAACGCAGCTCACTGTGCCGACAAAAAAACTTCCAGCCAGAAGCTTTTCTATGGCTTCCAGGCAACCTATGCCAAGTTGGTCACTTAAAGCCTCCCACAGGGTCGCCCCAAAGCTCTGCACCACACTCGAAGAAACCAGGCAAGCCCTCCACCCTAAGGCCCACGTTTCAATCCCGCCGTACGTTCCCGGCCTTCCCGGTTTTTCCTCTCGTTCATTT